CCCCAAAACCCCAAAACCCCAAAACCCCAAAACCCCTTTTTTAGGAAAAGTCGTTGAATTTTCTTATTTTGTTTAGAGAATTTAACAATAAACGTTATACTTTGATTAATGTGGCTTTTTGTTTATTTGCTTCAATTTGTTTACTAGAAGTGAGCAAATGTAGAAGGGTCATCAAGATCAATGATTCCTTGCATTTCTCTATCTACACGCCTCTTGAACTTCTCAAAGGAGCCTACTTTGTTACGACGGTCCTCGAACCGCTCCCAGAACTTCTTGAAATAAATTTCGTTGTTCTCCATTAAACGTTTGGCTAAACCAAAGATTGGGTGTTTATATGCCTTTTCTCTTTCGGGCACAAATGAAAAGTTCTTCATCTCCTTTTTAAATAAGTTTCCGCAATCGATGATCATGTTCTTCATCTCATCACTGAAGAGAGTTGATTCCTGAGTGGTAGTCTCGAAGTTCTTCCGGAGGATATCTTTAGCCAGAGGGCCAATGAGCTTCGCTTGGAACTCACAGTCCCTTTGAAGAAACTCTTTGACATCATCTTTGAGCATGTTAAGAAGCTTGCGATAGAACTTATCAGGCTTTTTAGCACCCTTGCAGGCGCCCCTAGCATGTGGGATGATGATCCCTGAGAGGGCATTCCTGAACCATCCCTTCTGGATCACATCACTCCTATAGATGAGTTCTTTGGAGGTATCATTCAGAACATCTTCAGATATTCCTCTTTGTTTACTAGGAGCAGAAGCTTGTTGGAGTTGGTTTGGATCAACGTATCCAAAAGCAGCGAGGTCGTTTAAGTAGACAAACTGTCCTTGAGGCAGAAAGCGAGGGTCGTAAACTCCTTTGTACATTGGCTTCGGCTTTATGGCTCCAATCGGCTTTGATATCTGTTCCAATGGGAAGAGTCCTCTCTGTTGCCCATAAACAAAGCTATAGGGATCTGGAGAGGTTGGGGAAGTCATGATATTTCCTGCATCGAAGGTGCTCTGGAATAGATTTTGCTCCTCCAGAGGCATCTCTCTAGAAGATGTTGACTTAGAGTCATCTTTTTGTGTACTCTTGAATGGTTTCATTCTTAATATTTAATTTTATTAAACAACATTGCTGTTTTAATATGGGGTTTTGGGGTTTTGGGGTTTTGGGGTTTTGGGG